TTCGATGTTACCCACATGAGCACTGCTGGTTAAAACTTACACGTGGGCAGTTCCATGTGGGTAACATCGAAAATTTTCCTATCCTTCATGAAGTCTACGTGGAAAGTTTTCATTTTTTATAAAATAAATATATTTGAAAATTTTGAAATGCCTTCAAAAATCAACATTTTTTAGTTAACTACTTTTATATCTAGTTTATGAAACAATTTGAAAAATTCGTATAGTTTAAATGGTGATTGTAAAAAAAAATATATATATGGTAATTCGCGAAATTTGTTTAAATCGGATGACAATTTTTTCACTTTTTATTTCCCTCTAAAATTAATTATCTTGATTTAATCTTTTGTGAAAGCTCTCTTCAAGTTCAGGCTATATATTGAATTCCCTTGAATTAAGTAAAATATTAAGTCTCACTTATAATATGTAAAAATATTCATACATTTGCACTTTTAATAAATTGAGACAATTGAAGTACAGTAACTTATGCACAAAATATTTTCAATGTTTTTTGGTGATAATTGTAATAAACTTCAGGGGGACTTTTGTATTGTTCCCTTCGCACGTGTCAAAATATACTTCCAAGCAAAGATCATTGGCTTTATTTTATGTAGAATAATAATAATAATAACTTCAATTTCGCTCATATATACTTTGAAGCCACTTCATTCATTCAAACCCTTTTGAATTTAAGGTTTTGATGCTTGGTGTGTGTTTCATTTTCTCTGCTTCAAAATTCTACTGTTTTGCAGCATCAGATGACTTAGCTTATGGAGTCATCTATATTTATCCACGAATAATATATTGACACGTGTCTTGCAATAAATACACATTGCACATGTGTCTTGCAATAAATAACATTGCACACGTGTCAATACATAAAGTTATGAATGACTCCATAAGGGAACCATATGATGGAACACATTTTCTCTGCTTTAAAATTCTACCGTTTTGCTATGCAGCATCAGATGACTCGGCTTATGGAGTCATCCATATTTATCCACAAATGATATATTGACACGTGTCTTGCAATAAATACACATTGCACACGTGTCTTGCAATAAATACACATTGCACACGTGTCAATACATAAAGTTATGAATGATTCCATAAGGGAACCATCTGATGGCTCCACCGATGACTCCATGGCATTTCTGTAAAATTCTAATACCCATTCAAATGACTTCCCACTATGGACTTTAAACCAAGCATATTTAGGAGGATTTAGCGCTTAAGCTATTGAATTAGCTCCAAAATTAGTGCTTTATCATCAACATTATCCTGACCCTAAGGATTATTATTCCTTATCCAATACTATCATTTTACACACGACTCTTAAATTTATTTCCCCAAAAGCTTAAATTAAAAGGATTTTTTTGGTGACTATTAACAAGCTTCATTCATTTTGCTATAGTCACTTCACCTGCTCTTCTTGTCATTTTGTTTGTGTCACTTATTACTTTCTCTTTAAAGTTTGATCAACAAAAAGTAATCTTTCACCAAAACTATGCTTTGCAACAAACTACTACACTTTCTTCTTCTTATTCAAGTGCTTGAAAAATTACAAAAATAAATAAAAAGAGAGAGAATGAAAGAAAGAATTATGTTATTATAACTGTTCTAAAAATCGGTCTGGCGGCGCGTAGGCACTAGACGGTTCCTGGGCGCCTCCGATTTTAAAAAAAAAAATGGTAGAAAAAATCGGTTAGGCGACCTTAGGCGCTTCTAGGCAGACTTGGCTGGCTCGACGGCCAGACGGTTAGGCAGCGCCTAGGCGGGCATTGGCGGGCTCAGCGATAATATTTCAGTTTGTTTTTATAAATATTAATTATATTATTTTTTTCTCATGTTTTCTTTAAAATATATTAATATTATTATGTAAGAATTAAGTGTGTTGATTTATTATAAGTTGAGATACATTTATTTTGTAGATAATTAAAATAAATAAAAAAATAAGTTATTTAATATTGATTCTAGGTTCCGCCTAGACGCTAGACGTTTGTCAAGTGCCTAGCAGACGTTTAGCGACTTTTAGAACACTATTTTTATTAATGACCTTTTGTTGTTTGTTAAAACTTAAACAAACATGTAACGGTTGAAGAGAGAGGGATGAAAGGAGGAAAAGGGCCACGAGCTGGGTGGGCCGGCCGGTTCGCTAATTGTAGCTTTCGAGAGTTGGCTTCAAAAGAGGAGAAAAATCCCATTCTCATCTCCTCTCTTTGCGGTCAATTCCTTGCAAGAATGGACTCCCTCTCATTTTCTGGAGCAGGAGTATCGTCTTTGTTTGTTTATTATAAATCTCCCCTAATAATAAAGCTTACTAAACCCATAACAACTCCATTCTTATGCGACTCCATAAAACCCCCTTCCAATTTCGCGTTATTGTTGAGTAAATTGCAGCTTCAAGCAAACCCCAAAAAAAAAAAAAAAAAA